CCCTTCACCCTAGGGACGAAAGCGGCGAGTCGAGTGGTCGACTCCCCGATAAGCCTCGGTGGCTGTGTCGCTACTCACCACGGGGGCTGGGGCAGTAGCTCTCCAGCCAGCGAGCAGCGTCGCTGGTTAATTGTGGAGATCCTCCAGTGAGCCAATGCGTTTTCATGTTGGGCATGCCGCAACAACGTGGGGCAGAGTCTGCAGACTGCCACAATCGCAACGTGGAGATGGCAACAAATTCCACTCACGCAGTAGGTAACTGCACCTGCCCTGCCCGGTCCAGGACCCACCACGGTCTCCGGGGGAGATGGAAGCCTTTCTGCTCAGTGGTGGGATCCAACATGAGATATTTGCGTGGGATGTTTGGGATGTTTGCGCTGCCGTTCAGCTCGCCACAGTTCCTTGACATTGGCCGGGACTTCCTTCGCTCGCTGCCGGGGGCTTGCGGGATTTTAGACGCGATGTTGGAGGTTGATCGAGGTATTTCTGGATGGGAAGAGGTTGGCTGCTGCGGTTGATACGTTGATATAGTCTGTATTCCTGCTCCTGTCGACGAATGCTTGGTGGGGCAATGTTTGCCAGCGGCAGTAACGGCAGTAACTGAAGGATCCATAGAGCATCGTGAAAACATGGCCGGGTACGCTACTTAAAGGATGGGGGGAGGGGCCTGTAGGAGTGAGTGTTGCGCTGCAGGGATCTGCATTTGGATCTCTCCTGTTAAACTTCTCATAAACGTTCTTGAAAAAGGGGTGAACAGGGACTAATCCAAAGATGACTGCAAAGATCTCCCAAAGCCGGGTGACTGGGCAACACAAGGGCAGGTGGAATTCAGTGTTGATAAATGCAAAGTGATGGACGTGGAAAAATAAAATCCCAACTAGACATACAAAAACGATGGAGTCTAGAATCACTGTGACCACTCCAGAGGGAGATCTCGGAATCCTTGTGGATAGTTCCCTGAAAACTTCTGGTCAATGTGCAGTGGCTAAAAAGCGAACAGAATATTGGGACTCATTAGGCAAAGGAATAGATAATTAGACAAAACACCATAGCGCCTCTACAGAAAGTCATTGTACGCCCACATCGTGAACACTGCCTGCAGGTCTGCTCACCACGTGAAAAACCTGCATTGCATTTGGGAAAGGCACCGACAGGGCAACAGAAATGAAGGGGGGTGAGGAGCAGCCTCAGTACTGAGGCGAGAGTAACGAGACTGGGACCTTCCATCTTGCAGAAGAATGACTAAAGGGCGGGGGCTGTTCGAGGTCTAGAAAACCAGGAATAGTGCAGAAACATAGAATAGGGAGCCTTGTTCACTCCTTCCCTCGTATGGCCCAAGGAGCCGACCCAATGGCATTTAGAGGCAGCAAATGTAAAATAAACAAGACATTTATTTCTTCCCAGTGAGCTTGCGGAATGCTTGGCCAGGAGACGGTGGCCAGACCCAGGCCAGAGCAGGGTCCAATAAGAACAAAGTCCGTTCAAGGAGGTTCGGTCCTTCAGTGGCGACTGGCCAGGCTGGGTCCCTGGTCTCTCTTCCCAGGGCTGGGAATGGGCGACAGGGATGGATCGTGATGACGCCTCGTCTGTTCGTTCCTTCTGAAGCGCCCGGCATCGGCCGCTGTGGGCTGAGAGGACACTGGGCTGGATGGACTGTTGGCCTGACCCAGCCTGGCTGCTCTGATGTTCTTATATCGAGCCCAAATGCCCCCTGCTCTAACCACTAGACCCCACTCCCCTCCCAGAGCTGAGAGAGCCCAGGCGTCCTGATGGGGGGTCTCTTGCTCTCTCCCCCCAGAGTCAGTAACAAGGGCTAGACTGCATCCCCCTGTCGACAGAGGGATGCAAATCAGGCATGTTGAAATTGCTAATGAACCCGGAATTTAAATATCCTGCGCCTCATTAGCATAAACATGGCCACCTTTTTTTTCAAAATGGAGTTTTTTCGAAAGAAAAGGCAGTCTAGACGCAGAGCTGTCGAAAGTAAAGCCTTTTTCGACAGATCCTGTATTCCTCAAAAAACGAGGTTTACAGGATCTGTTGAAAAAGGCTTTATTTTCGACAGATCCGGGTCTAGACTGCTGGGTTTTTTTTAACTCCGTTTAGAAAAAAAGCGGGTGGCCATGTTTATGCTAATGAGGTGTGGGATATTTAAATCCCGGCTTCATTAGCAATTCGACGTGCCTGGTTTGCATCGCTCTGTTGTCAGAGAGGTGTAGTCTGGACACACCAAAGTAAGACTAGCCATTGCCAGTTTCAGGCTAACTAGTGCCACAAGATGTCAGAGCTGAGTGGGTCTGATACTTATTTAATTTTCTTTCTGTTCTAAAGGAATTAGACGCCGTGCTCCTGCTAACGGCGCCGTTGCCTGCCAAACAAAGCAGTTGTGCAGTGCCTTAGGCTATGCCTACACCCCGGGGCTTTATGGGAAAACGTGCCTACCTCTTTCCGACAGTTTTTTCGGAAGAGGCTTTTCCAAACTTTGGCTGGTCTACTCGGGAAAAACCCCATTCGGAAAAGCCCTTCTTTTTCCCGGGAGGGAGCGCAGAAAAAAGCGGAAGAGCAGACGCAGTCCCTGGACGCGGCGGGAAAACCCCGTAGTCCAGACGTAGCCTCTAGCTCTGGGATAGAGATGACGTGGTTCACTCCGGGCCATTTCTAGGGTTTTCATAGTTCAGGAGAATGCTGGGATGAGGGGAAGAAATCCTCCCCCTCTCCCGTGAGGGACCCGTCCTTGCAGTGCTCGGGCCGGGGTGGCTGCGGTGCAAAGAAGCGAGCAGACGTATCAATACTAAAAGCATATTTCTGTGTGGTCCGTCTGAGGGCCCCCGGAGTCTCCGTGCCCCCCCCCCACCGTCATTCGCGTATTTCTTAGAGGGCTTTTATTGGGGCTTGAACAAAACGTTTCCAGAAAGCGGTTTCCTCGGCGCTGACGTGCTCAGTGGAGTTGCAGGGGCAGGTCTCTGGGTGCAGAGCACAAGACACACCTGCTACGCAACCTCAACCTTTTGGACCTGCAAGCAGCTGGTCTGACGCGCGTCCGGCTGGGGGCGTTTGAACGACTTTGTTCTGGGCCCAAGGCGGAATGAAAACAGATTCTGAAACCTTGGAAACTTGCGAAAGGGCTTGGTCTGTCTCTGGCCAGCCTGAGGGTTTGTCTTCCCAGCGGAGGCCCATAGAACCGGAAGAGACCTCAGGAGGCATCAAGTCCGGCCCCTGCCCAAGGCAGGACCAACCCCAACTAAATCAACCCGGCCAGGGCTTTGTACAGATCCCGCCCATGGGACAGATGGGAAACTGAGGCAGAGCGCACCCAGGCTCACAAAGGAAGTGTGTGGGGAGCAGGGATCTCAACCCAGGTCTCCCAAGCTTTTGCCGACTGCTCTGACCACTAGGGCCCTCTCGGGGCTTTTCTGCTGTAGGCAATGGAGAAGGCAGACTAAAGGCCACCAGCTTATTATGGGCACCACCACCCTTCCGGCCAGGCCGCCTCCCCTCCGGCCCAGCCACAGCGAGAGGAGCAAGCCCCAGGCTGGGGGGGGGCTCCTGCACTAAGACCCCCCACCCCACAAACCGCAGGGCTGCACCGCAGGAGGCCGCTGGACTGGGTCCTCCGTGCTCGGCTTTTGACGTCGTTAGGACGTGGAATGTGGCGGGTCGGCCAGTTCAGGGCTTTGTTTAAGTCTCAAACCTGGGAAGGAAATAAGCTCTGCAGCTTCCCTTTGGAAACTGGCTTGAATTAATGTCAAAACTCTGAGAGCCAGCAGTGAGCACCGGGCAAGTGAAACGTCCCCAGCAGGCTTCTTGTGTCACCATTTCGAGTATCCGATTTGTGTCCGGGAATCCCTTGTCGTGAGACTGCCCGGTTTGGCCAGTGTCCATGGCCGAGGGGCACTGCTGGCAGAGATCACGCTGGGGGACGTGCAGGTGTATGAGCCCTGGTGTGGCTAGGTCCTGCGCTGGTGTCGCTGGTGTCGCTGTGTGGGCAGAGTGGGCACCGGGGCTGCTTGCAGGAGCAGGTTCCTGGGTGAGTGTCTGGGGGCTGATACGTGGTTGCTGGACAGAACTCGTTGGAGGCTGTAGGCGAGGGTTGGCCTGTGCC